AGAGGGGTGGGATAGGGAGGGTGGGAGGGAGGGAGACGCAAGAGGGAAGAGATATGGGAACATATGTACATGTATAACTGATTCAGTTTTTTATAAAGCAGAAACTAACACACCATTGTAAAGCAATTATACTCCAATAAAGTTGTAAAAAAATAAATAAATAAAAAGAATAAAATTAGTCTAATAAACACACTAAAGAGATAGGGAAGATATCAGCAACACAAAAGAAGAAAACAAACTTTTAATTGAGAAATTATGGAATAAAAATGTAACAAAATTCTATAATAGATGGGATACACAGCATCTAGGATACAGCTGAGGATCAAATTAGCAAACTGCAAGACTGCATGTAACAAAAGGAATTGCAAAAAGAGGTAAATAAAAATGAAAGAGATAAAATAACTTTTTTAAAAAGATCAATTTTCAGCAATTAAAAACATAGATTTTAAATCGAAAGGGCCCACAGAATCCCAAAAGGAGAGATAAAGAAAATTCTACACATAAAATTATTGTGACATTTTCAGAAATTTCTCTTTGTCGTTGATATTCTTAATTTTCCAGAGAAAAAGATCACAAATAAGGGCATAAAAATCGGAATGACAAATCTTTTAACAGGATGTAAGAAAACAATAGAGTTATATTTTCAAAGACTTAAAAGAACTTGAAGAGAAAATTATTTACAGCCAAACTGTCTCTCAAACATGAAAACATAATAAAATTATTGTTAGACATGTAAGGCCTCAGAAGCTATTAAACGCTACTGAAAACAGTTTGGGATAAATACTTATATAAGAAGAGAGGCAAATTTGCAAGAAATATACAAAGTACAGGCAATAAATACCTTGTTAAAGTTTATTATCTTTAAAGAAAGAGGTAGGGGGGCAGCACTAAGACCAAAAGAAAAAAAAGAAAACATTCATAATCAAAAAGAACTAAATATCTATATGATATCAACATAACAGAGGATGAGGGTTGGAACAGAGGGAAACAAAAGGATGGGAGAGCATGCTAAAGTTCATGTCTCACTAGAAGGTAAATATAGCTTTCAACTAAAAACAAAAGGATTAAAAGGAAACAGAAAAGGTGACACACACTGAAATAATAAGGTAGTATAAATAAACCCAAATATATTAAAAATACCAATAAACATAAAGGGACTAAATTTACCAATTAAAAGACAAAGACTGACAAATGGATTTTTGTCAGTAAATCTGTAAAATCTATAAATTTTACAGAAGTTACACTTATGGCATGAGCATCGGCAAAAATTGAAAGTAAAAGGACAGAAAAAGACTTATCAGGCAAATATTAAGCAAAATAAAGCCAATGTAGCTGCACTACCAACACATTAAATAGACTTTAACACAGTATCCTTAGAGATGGTCACTGCATAATGATGAAAGGTTCAACTAAGAAGAGGCAGCAATTTTAAATGAATGCACCCAATACAAAAAGCAAAAATACAACTACAAGGAGATACTAATAGGTCCACAGTCACTGTCAGAAATTTTATCCACCTTCTTTAATTCTTGATATGTCAAGCAAACAGAAAATCAGCAAGGACCTGCACAACATTATTAACTGAACAAACTGACATATATAGAATTTTATAACTAACAATTAGAAAAAATATGCATTTTTTCTTAAGCACAAGTGAAGGCTGACCATGTTCTAGGGCAAAAAGATAACCTTAATAAATTTCAAAGGATAGGTATCACATAGATCATAAGTATCATATAATATCAATAATATTTTTTTAAAAGCACAAGTAACCCAATAGAAAATGGAAAAAATATAAGAACATGAACATTAAAGAAAAAAAAGGAAACATATATAGACAATAAATACGAAGAAGTGTTCAACATCATTGGTGATCAAAGAAATACAAATCTAACCACTATGGGAAATCATTTGTACACCCATTTGATTGGCAAAATCTGTGAGTATGACAATGCAAAGTGTTGGGAGAGGATGCTGATCCACAGGATCTCTTTTACGTTGCAGGTGAAAGTGTAAAGTGGTGAAACAACTTTAGAAAACAATTTGACATATCTCCTGAAGTTGAACTTTAACTTATCCTATGACCTAAAAATTCTACTCCTAGATATACAGACAAAAGAAACTTTTATACATGTATAACAGAACAAAAATATTCACGGCACTAGGGTTCACAAGAGTAAAATCGTAGAAACAATCTAAATGCTCATAAATAATGGTTTATTCACACAATAAAATATTATGCAGCAGTCAAAAAAGAAAGAACTACATGCAACAATGTGCAAGAATTTTAGCAATATAATTTTAAGTGAAAAGTCTCAAAAGGTCTCATACGACATGATGCCCTTTTATAAGTTAAAAACAAAAAATATATTTTTAAGGAATACATATAGATGCAATAAAACTGTACTAAAAGGAAAGCAAGGGAATGATCAATACAATATCAGAATGATGGTTATTTCAGTTAGAGACAGAGGTATGAGATTACAGAGGTATGGAGAGTCAAGGACCATATGCAGAAGTAGTATGTTATCAAGTTAGTTGCTTTTATAATGGATGGTCCATCTGTGGGTGGTTACTACATTATTAAAAATGACTAAATAAAATAGGCCATGCATGGGCCAATGAGGAGAGTGAAATAAGAATTAAGAAAAGAAATTACAAAATTCTGAAGCCAGGATTCAGATCAGTTTCAGGAAGGGACCATTTAGATAACACTTTGAAAAATTTTAGACAATAGTGAATACAGGCAAAAATTTTAATATGTTCAAATTAATATTTATATCATTTTCATTCATTTAAATATACAGTTATTTTTTATTTTATATATAACATAAGCCTTTAGGAAAACAGAGAAATGTGTAAATTAAGACAATCAAATCTCATTAGGATAGTCTAGTATATTTCCATTTGTCTATGCCTGTTTTATAAGGGTGTCTCATAAAGATAAAATATTTTTAGATGATCTTACATCCTGTTTGTTCATAAAACATTGTTATATGCTTCGTCCCCTGATCCAATTCAATTTAAAAACTTACTATTTCAACACTGATGCAAAATAATTCTCAAACACTGATGTCATTCTTTACTGATGATCACTTAGACTGTTTCCAAGTTTTCCACTACCGCAAATAATTTTATGTGATAAACATCTTGGGAACAAATGATTTTCTACCTTTTATATTGTTTCCTCAGGCTAGATTCCCAAAAGTGAAATTACTAATCAAAGGAACTAACATCACATTAGTGAGCACTTACTTCATAGTAGGTATAGCATATGCCAGGCACTGTTATAAGTTCTTTACATTAACTCATTTAATCATAATTCTAACTGATTCACTTTGCTGTATAGCAGAAACTAACACAACATTGTAAATCAACTATACTCCAATAAAGATGATAAAAAACAAAACAAAACAAAAATCATAATAACTCTATGAAGTAAGTACTATTATCCTCGTTTTACAGATACAGATACAGAGGCACACAGAGGTTAAATAACTTTCCCAAGATTACATGGCTTCAATTCCAACAATATGGATCCAGGGTCTATGCTCTTAGCTACCATGCTATTATACTATTTCTGGAGGTAGGAAAAAAAAACATAAGCGTTGGTGGTAATATTATTAAACACAGATTTCCACTTAATTACACCTTGATATGAGATGGCTGAGGTATTCTGATCCTCTAATCTTCAAAGAAATTAGTTCTACTGTTTCATCTATAATGCTATAAGGCATGAAATAGTACACTAAGCCATCTAGAGTAAGTGTGCTATTATTATCTGGCACCAAGGAAGAAAATTTGGCTACACTGGTTAAAATTCTAGCAATCTTGTTGAGAAACTATGCTTTATACTGTGGTAAAGACTACTTTAACAAATAAAAATCCTTTATTTCCCAACCATTTTGAGGATGTCAAGGCTTAATTTGAGAAGCCCAACTTACATACCTTTTCGTACCCAATCTCCAGTATGAATATTTATAGTCACGCCCACTAAATTACTACTTCGCTGTCTTTTCTCCCAGAGAAAATCAAGAGCTTTTCTTGCATATTCCTATAATAAAAAAAGAAACGCATACTTGAAGAATTGCATATCTCTGGCAAACAGGAAACAAAGAAACAAAAATCAAAGACCCATAGTATGTTTTAAGGATTAAGTAAAATTCCAAAGATAATCACTTATAACATACATTAAATTTCCTTGCAAGTCAAAACTACTGGCTCTTTCAGCCAATTGAGTTTAGTTAAAAAGAATGACTCTAAAAATGCTATTTAGTGCCAATGATCTCACTTTGAGACCATCCTTGTTCATCTACTCTTGTAGTACAGGTCTGCATTCACACACATGTGTTATTAAAGTAAAAAGAGCTGGCATAATTAACTTATTAAAATAATTTCTATCTTTTAAATGCAAAGTAAAAATCTCCTTAGATACTCTAATTTACAAAACTGGAAGAGAATTTCAAAGTTGGTATGCCATCTTTGAAACAGAATAGACATTTCAAATCCTACATTTTAAACAGCCAGCAACTTCGTTAGTGAAGAGTAAGTAAATCGACTAGTATTCGTTTGACAATACCAAAATTATAACCTTATAATAATATTTTTCTCTTCTTTTTTCATTTATTTTTGTCGCTTAGACACTAAATTAAAATTATTTCTGGTCAAATTCTTGGCTTTGGATGAAAAGATGTTACAAAACAAAAGCAAAGAACATGTACAAAAGAGTTTCTAAGTTAAAATTAATTTCAGAGCATGAATCTACTCAGCATTGCAGAAGTACTTCTATAAAAGAAATAATTAAACCAATTTGTCACTCTGCAGACTGAAGAATAGGGTGTAAAATCGTCTTAATTCTTGACTATTTATGCTGAATTTTTTAAACAAAGCAGATTGCAACTTTACTTAATGGTATAATTTCAGAGCTGGAAGTTTCATAAAGATTACATTTCCCTATTCCTATCTTATAGCTAAGGAAAGAGGCCGAGTGAAATCAAAGATTTAACAAAAGTTTAAAACTGAATTATAGGACAACTAATATGAGAATTCAGATCCCTTTATATAGCAATATATTAGACCAAAAAGTCAACAAACTTTTTTCTGACAGGGGCCAGACAGTAAATACTTCAGGCATTATGGGCCATTCAGTCACTGTCACAATTACTCAACTCTGCCACTGTAGCATAAATACAGGCATAGACAAAAATAAATAAATGAGCATGGCTGTGTTCCAATAAAACTTTATTTACAAAAACAGGCAGTGGCTGGATTTCATCTCAGACTGTAGTTTACCAGCCCTGTGTTAGCTTGAGTCTCTGTCAACTGCATTAGGTTGCTTCTCTCATAATAAATCACTGTACATTCAAGAAATTAAAGAAAAATCACAGTTTTAAAATATAAAATAACCCAGTGAAAAAAGGTTGGGCTTTGAATTCAGAAAGGCATGGATTCTAATTCCGGTTCCACTCATTCACCCTTTAGTCAAATACCTTTGAACCTCACTTTCCTCACGTGTAAATGCATCAGTATCTCAAGAGTCTGTAGGTCAAATTAAATTAGAAAGTATGCAAAAATGACGTTTTTGTAAATGAAGGGAAAATATCAGTCAGCAAGTTATAGAACAAAATTTAAACCAAACAAGATAAACTTGTCCTTAAGATATTTGAACATACAACCACACAAAGACCATTTAACTTGTTTTATTTACACTCAGATCCAAGGTCTCTAATGCTAGTATATAGTCCCTATTTCTTATTGTTCTATGTGTACCATTTGCTGAATTTTAAAAAACTCTTCTAGGGCTTTCCCTGGTGGCGCAGTGGTTGAGAGTCCGCCTGCCGATGCAGGGGACACGGGTTCGTGCCCTGGTCCGGGAAGATCCCACATGCCGCAGAGCGGCTGGGCCCGTGAGCCATGGCCGCTGAGCCTGTGGTCCGCAACAGGAGAGGCCACAACAGTGAGAGGCCCACGTACCGCAAAAAAAAAAAAAAATTCTTCTAAGTTATATGTTTTAAAAATTGGCTGTTACTATTGCACTCCAATGACGTGGTTAAACAATTAGCTAAAATACAAAGTGCAAGACATAGCTAGTCCACAACAAACTATTCGGGGGATATTAAGTCTTTGGATGATGAATAATATTTCCCCTTGGAGTAAACAAACTTACAGATGAGACTTAAGTGCAAAAAACAAACGCAATGAGACTTAAGTGCAAAAATTTCACTATGTTTTAGAAGATAAGTGAAGTTTTCAGAAATGAAATAGACCATCTAGAAGTCTAACAATAAAACACAGATAGTATTTCATGTAAGACATTTGTGATATCAAATTTCACATAGGTAATACAGCTAAAACATTTTGTAAGAATAAATCTAAAAATTTACTTTATAGTTCGTGAACAAAATGCAAAGTTGTACTTAATATAACTTCTGTGTTTTTCACAATTAAAAACTATGTGCTAGAATTTAGACAAAAAGTTCACTAAAATAACAGAAATCATCCAGTTCATTATCTTAATACTTGATCAATGAAGAAAAGCTATAAAGTTAGTTATGCCCAACACCCAGGAAATCAAAGACTATGAAAAGCAAACCTCAAATATCGTTGCTCCTGTGAATCGACTTAAAGCAGCAAACTCAAGGATCAAGGTACCTGCACAAGCTGTACAGGTATCTGTTTCAGTTCCTGTCCGAGCTTCTGGTTTTCTGATACCAAACTTTAAATTAATCTAAATAAAATCAGAAGATTATCATTAGCAATTATCAAGAGATAAAGACTTCTGGATAAGAAACCATTTTTCAATCAAGACTTTTAATCAAGTCATGAAAATAATTGATCAAATAACTAAACACTGAAATTTTATCTGATGATCACTGTGACTTTCCAATTAACATCTAGGGAAGTACATTCTAAGCACATAATATTCATGGGATAAATAAGCTTTCACTTAGCTCCTTCCTCAATGATATCAAAATTCAATATCATTATAATAATTACACAGAGGAAATACCTTCTATAGCAATCCTGTTCTCTGGACAGTTTGAACTAGTTAGTACCAGAATAGGAAACCATACCAGTCCTAAAAGAAATTAGGTTTAATTGAGAATTTGTGAAAAAGCAGTACTATATTAAATAGTCTTTCACAGAGAAAAAACTAATTAAGGTATAGTATATATCTAAAAGGAGATTAAAATTTTATTTACAGGTTTAAATAATTTTGAAATATAGAGTATATTACCTTGCTGATAGACGAACAAATAACACAAAGAAAAATTTTTCAGCCAGCCAAATAATACCACAATATAAACCTGGATTAACCAGAACCAACCTGAACAGAAACTAGCTCTACGGTTTTATGTGAGTTTAAAAAATGACTATTGACAATTACAGTAGCATTTCTGTCCAGCCAACACTTCTGAGTTAAACCCATTAATGCAAATGCTATCAATTATGTATTCATATCCAAGAGAGGTTGACTGTACAAATTTTCATGAGCAAAAGAAGTATTTACTAAGCGTGTTTAAGAAAGGATGGGAAGGCAGTTATTTTCTACCTGTAGTCCTCTTCTAAAAAAATAATCTTTAAAATTTTCTTGATACTTCAGAGGATAAGAAAATAATACAATTTTCTTTGTTTTTCTATAATGCTCTTAGTAGCTTCTGTTTCAATTTCTTGTCTGCTTCTCATGTTATGGCAAAAGTGAAGACATGCCAGATTCTTCAAAATTCAGTGCCTCCATTTATAACAAAAACTAAATATATTTACTAAAAGTAAATTTAATTAAATAAACATCTAGATGGTTTAAAATAACTTTGCTTTCAATTTTAATATGCTAAGAAAACAAAAAGGTTAACAAACAAGTTTAAACCACACTAATAAGCAAAGAAATTTCAAATTTTAAACCACACAAGCAAAGAAATTTCAAATTAGAACATGTTTCCATTTTTTTCCTCCTTAAATTGTCAAAAGAATGATAATATACAGTGTGGGCAGCAGTACGACACATGCACTTTTACACAACACAGGAAGTATAAAAGTAGAATCTTTCTGGAGAGCAACTGGTCAGTAAGTACACAAAGCCTTAAAAAGATCTCCCTGTTTTATGACTTATTATATTCTCTTCTAGTAATTTATCCTACGGGAAAAATAAGTTAAAAAGATGTATATAAGGATATTCAAAGAAGAGCTGTTTAAAAATATCACGAACTAGAAATTTAAATAAGAAATTTAATACTAGTCTGTTTCTTAAAAAAAAAAAAAAAAAAAAAAAAAAATGGTGTTGGTCACGATCCACTAAATCAAAGGGTAAGCGAATGAGCTGTGACCTTCCCGTTTGAAAAGCATGCTATATCATGCTGGATCTCCAGTCAGAGATTTCTTGATGGAGGAAATGAGTCCTATTTATATTGGTAGAGAAGTTACTCCAGCAAGCCAAAAGGCATGGAAATGAAAACAAAAACAAAAACAAAAACAAAAGATCCCTAGGTGTTTTGGGGAACACAAATAGATTATTTTGGCTGAAATGGGACGTTCATTTCATTGGAGTATGGGGTATGAAAGAACTTCATAAAGAAAGTCTATTGCCAAACCATAAAGAAACCTGAAAGTTAAAGGACATTCAGTGCAACAGGCAGAGTTAGTAAAATTCTGAGAGTAATTTGATAAAAGTTATGTTTTAGTAAGATTAATTTTTTTAAGTCTCTGAAGCAAAAACCAGAGAGAAAAGAGTAAAATAGGTATTTATAATAGGTATTATAAAATAGGTATTATAATAATCTATAATATTTATAAAATAGGTATTTAAAATAGGTATTTATAATTTATAATAGGTATGATATAATAAAATTATATCGGTTTCAACAAGCATGGCAGCAGTAAGAAGAGGAAAAAATTAAGAGAGCTCGGTAATGGCTGAGGTGTCTGGCCTGGATAAGAGGGAAAGAGGAATAGTG